ATGTAATATCAACATAAATACATGGATGTATGGTTATTTGAAATTATTTAATTATTGGTTGTTCTGTAGTACATTTTTTAGAGAATTCTTTGCTCTCTGTTCAAGTTTGCTGTGTTCTTACATGCACATGGACAGACATGGCACACTGGAACCACAATGCACCATCTCCCGATCACTTCAAGAGACTGCGCTATGCGTGAAATCGAAAGTAAAAACAGGTCATAGTGTCACAGTGGCGACAAATATCGCATGGGATTTGACAAAAGTGAAAGTATTTCGGGGGATATTTCCATGTTTAATAATGTGCTGTACACATTTGATGATGGTCAATTTCGATGAAGTAAGGGTATTCAAACACAATATTTCCCTGTCAAAGATCGGCTTTTCGATGTCAGCTACGAAAAAAAGAAATTCAAGTCAAATTATTACTTTCTTTCAAATTGTCCAAAGTTGATATCTTGCCTACAAGTAACACAGAATGTACAATAGTCTTTAACAGTTAGAGAAAAATGTATCAGATTCATTGCTCATTTTGTGAGATTACTGAACTCTTAGTTGGTGAAAAATAGTGAAAAAAGTGATAAGAGCGAAACCTGGCAGTCCTGAGAATAGCTGGGTATCTTTATCTATGGTGTGTATACATGTACGTGTTTTGTTTCACACTCAATTTCTAATCCACTTATTCAGAGATTAAGTCGATAAAAATAGCCTCCTTTTCCAAATGGTTGCCATAGAAACATGTGCTTATATAAATGATGAAGATGTGTTGAAATCAAAGGAGTTTTGATTTGTGTCAAGTTACCATGGTAATTTCTCTATGTTAATTGAATTCACTAAAATTAGAAGATATTGTTTATGGTAAAATGCACTATACACGTATGTACGATAAAATGCACTATACACGTACATACGATAAATTGCACTATACACGTAGGTACGATAAAATGTACTATACACGTACATACGCTAAAATGCACTGTACACGTACATACGATAAAATGCACTATACACGTATATAAGATAAAATGTACTATACACGTACATATGATAAAATGCACTATACACGTATGTATGATAAAATGCACTGTACACGTACATACGATAAAATGCACTATACACGTATGTACGATAAAATGCAATATACACGTATGTACGATAAAATGCACTATACACGTATGTACGATAAAATGCACTATACACGTATGTACGATAAAATGCAATATACACGTATGTACGATAAAATGCACTATACACGTATGTACGATAAAATGCAATATACACGTATGTACGATAAAATGCACTATACACGTATGTACGATAAAATGCACTATACACGTATGTACGATAAAATGCACTATAACACGTATGTATGATAAAATGCACTATACACGTATGTACGATAAAATGCAATATACACGTATGTATGACAAAATGCACTATACACGTATGTACGATAAAATGCACTATACACATATGTACGATAAAATGCACTATACATGTATGTACGATAAAATGCCCTATACACGTATGCACGATAAAATGCACTATACACGTATGTATGATAAAATGCACTATACACGTATATATGATAAAATGCACTATACACGTATGTATGATAAAATGCACTATACACAAGTGCATGCGATACAATGAACATATCCAATAAGTGATTGTGTAACATATTTATTAAATAAGTGCAGTAATTTTATTGGTTGCGATCAAACAAATGATTAATTTTTAGAACCAACAATGTATTTAATTATAGAGACACAGTTTTGGCTGATTTTAACAGCAGTCCTCCATAAGTCAGCAAGCAGTTGAGGAGGCTCAGTACATTGCCGCTGTAAGGTTGGGAGAATTAGAAACAACGACACGTATAGTAAGGACATTCAGGTTAATGGGTGTAATACAAGAAAAATATTACATAGCTTTATGAGACTTCTATTGCAAGATATACAGGTAAAGATGCAAGTATAGTAAAATGTGCTATACATGTATAAATGGTGAAATGTTCTTCTGTGAAATACCTCATCAAGGGCCAGATGGCATGATTATATTTTCGCAAAACAGTATCACTATTTCTTTTGTTTTTTTGAAACTTGTGTGCTTTTCAATATTGTGCATTTTGTAATAGATTATGTAATAATTAATCATCACAATATTCGTTTGGATTAATTATAAAAATATTATTCAAATGTTATTTAGTATTTTAATCAGTATGAACATTTGAAGATTGAAGATTGTGATCTCAAGTCTAATTTTCCAGATAATATTTTTCTTGAGGTAATGAAAAATGCAAAAGCTCTTTCACTATACCTTAAAGATACTATCTATAAATCCCCTGATTAAAAGTTGCAAAAATAGTGAAGTTTTTATTTTGATATTTCTTTAGTCTTTATTTTTTCAGTTTTATTGTTTGTTTGTTTTTATTACATTTGTTTACTTTTGTCTTGTTATTCTCTTTACCTTACTAAATCCTCTGATGATTTAGTTGTGTAATAAAGTTATTATTATTTTTACCACTACATTGGTCTCGCAGTGCTACAGTGGTCATGCAGTGCACATTTAAATTTTGTGTAAACAAATGTACTGTAAGCATACAGTAACGCTTGGGAGAACACTGACCATCAAATCTACTGAACACACAACCCTCGATTTGGTAAACTCATTCTGTGAGAATATTCAGTATCAAGTTTCCTATATATAAACACTCATACACATACCCTTTTTCTTACTAGAGTGGAATTAACTAAAAAGAATGTTATTTATCCCCAAATATTTTTATTGGTGAAAATAAATTACATGCTCTAACAGTTATTTGAATCTTATTGTAAAATACAATTTGGAGGAGAAAAAACTTTGTCAATATGTGACAGAAGATGTCTTCAATCTAGTGTTTAATGTCAGAAGGTATGCACTCTCCTGTAAGGTAGAAAAACACAATATCGATTGAACAGCAAAGTAGCTTCAGGGGAACTGTTTTATTTATGGAGTTGTTATTCACATGTTTGACTGCTATATGCGTTATGTTCAGGACTGGACATGTTGTTTTCTTCTCCTTCCTCATAAATTTCAAAACACGAAGATGTGAACATTTTTTCTCCCCCAGTTACTAAATTTATCCAACAGACTTGACAGCATATTTATAGGGGTGAAGAGTGAGGGTTGTGGTAGGATGGTGGGGGTGTCTAGAATGACCTCTCAACCTCAGCATTCAGCTATAACTGTCTATACCCATCTTATTTTAATTGAGCAAACAATGAAAATAGAGAGAGGCAGAGTTACCAATCATATCAACCTCACACCAAGGAACAAGACTTTCTGTCATCTGATGTCACTTCAGTTTTGATTCAATCATGCAAATTACTTTAAAGTACAGGATTTTTTTTTATAGAAGAATCTTTTTATTTAACTTAAAAGAACATCCAAAATAAGAACACCCCTACCTGTTAAATTTCATCATAGCAATTTGTTATGTGAAAATAATCATTATTATTGAACTTATTGAGATTTTGATATCATGACAATAAGGAAAAAAATATACAAATGATAAGATATGATAGAATTTTATTTGGAACGTACCAATGATGTCTTGAGTAAAGTCCAAGAATAACAAAACAAAACATTCAGGACAACAAAAACTTACAGTACTAAAACATATCAAGAATATAGAATATAGAAAATAAATTTTGCAAAAATGCTAAGAATGAAAAAATCATTACTTGAAACAATAATTCATCCATGCTAAAATCTTCCAGCATTGGGGCATAGATGTATAGAGCTGCAAGGAATCCAGATCTTTGTTCATTTGATATATGTACATATAACATCTGATAATGAACAAGATGTTTAAAATAGGATCAGCATTTACAGGTTTCATGTTCATTTCCCTCGCATGCAACAAGAGCACATGGTTGCTAGCGACCCTGGATAGCGACAGTAATGATTACTGATTTCTGAACTTGATGATCAGAGTAAAGTTACTGTAAACAGGTATGAATGCAGTATTAAGACAGGTGTTTTATACTCACTTGTAATCTTTAGTTTTTAGTTACACAGTAAAAAGCATTCAATTACAACAGAATGATATTAATTGTAGACTTCATTCTAAACTTACAAATGAATTTTGCTGTAATCATTGTTAATAGTATTTTAACAGCTCTCTTTTTAGATAACGATAGCCAGGCTGATTGGTGTCATCAAAAGATTCAGTACTCCAGGGAGCCTGTCCCATTCTGAGACTTCTTTCCTGACAATACGAATCATACTGAGGCCTGTAATGTATTGTTTACGTCACCGTTAAAGGCCGAAGGCCATCGGAATGTCAACAGTGAAGTGTCGATTTCTCATCTGCTGGCAAAAAATGCCATACATCGACAAGGGGAGGTGAAACATGAAGCGATGTCGACCAGACTGTTTCTGCGTTGCTCGGGAAAAAATCCTGAAGCTTGTATTTTTTTTTTTTTTTTTTTTCGTTTTTTTTTGGGGGGGGTGGTATGTTAAAACTGTGAGATGGCTAATTGCCTGGTGCTGTATATCGATTTCTATACCACTTGAGTTATCTTATTCGCAGCCAAGGTGATTAAAAAATAATGTAACACGGACATTCTCGCACGTGAAAAACAGTGATGTTATTACTGATACGTTTTTATCGCTCTACTTGAAAGCGTTGGCTTGCATGATATGTGCGTTAAAATGAAATCACCAATCACAGGCCGTTTGCACACACATTCCACTAAACTCAAACAAATCGCATAAAACTACGACAAAAATCTGGCGTCTGTTTTTTGTTTTTGTTTTTTTTTTATTAAAAAAAACGCTGTACATTCGTATGCTATTTTTTCTGAACTGCGCGTTGAGAGTGAATACACACAAGATCTCCCTTGGATTTAAACGCGATGTGACGCAAAATGACGATCATTTTATTAATTGCAACATTGTGCCCATACAAAAATCGTTCTCAGGAATAACAAAATACTATAATGACAAAGCAAGCCTACCTGTTTTTGTATAAGTGCCGGTAGAGACGTCCGTCTTGCTTTGTGGTTGTGACTTGTTGTGCTGGAAGAACTCGAAGTCCTACGTCGCCGGATAACGGGAATTTTTCCATCATTTCCAAACTGTGTGGTGAAAGTTTGCCGAAACGCAGACTCTACGGACTTGGCTAAAATACAGCCCAAAATCCCACAAGAATATGCTAAATAAGGCCTTAAAACGGCCGGTAAATCGACCAACGTACAGCCGCTAATAAATCGAATAATACTTATAAATATAATGACAATCGCACTATGAGTCGTCTGAAGGGATGAAAACAGACTGCAAACGCTGATCACGGCTAACACCGTCGTCGCTTGTAGCGGACGAAAAATGTCACCTCCGAGCACGATTTGGGCGAAGATTTCCCCGATGTGGCAACTGAGAAAAAGTATATACACACTGGAGCTGCTCCATGATTTTCGTAAAAAAAGTGCTAGCCAATAGAAAGCACACAGGATACTAAAACTGGGTATCGCAACCCCGAGCAGTCTCTGCAATAACCATGGAAAATCCACAAGATAGATCAGTAAGCTTGCTACCATAACGATGCCCGCACACATCAAACCCACTTCAGTCGGCGATGGTTTGAATCCTTTGACACCTAGCCAGTTTAGATAAGGGGAGTAAGTTCCGTACTCAAGAGGAGAAACCAATGCTCTAATGTATCCGTTATTGTCACTCGCATCGCCACGATCGCGGTCGTGTTTACGCGCTGGCTGTATCTCTCTCCTTGTCGCCATTTTCAACATTGACCCGTTTCGCAGGGACATGTGGGTAATTCTCCGTGACCCGCATAAATACTGCCACCTTTTGGCTTGTTCGCTGTACGTGCGTTTTGAGCCATATTTACGTTTTTCACGAGTTTCGAAAACAGACGTGTCATATAAACTCCCACGCAACTCTCCAAATGCCTGAAATTCATTTCCGTGGAAGAATTTACAGTACGATTTTCAATATATTTATGTTAAAAATACGTACTTTCTGCTTTTACTTTCTATTAGGAACAACATTTTGTATTATTTCTGACGGCAGATTATGTTGATGGTGCTCCAATATTGTTTGCCGTTTTTTTTATTATTTATTTGTGTATTTTTTTCAATCCCGTTTACTTTATTTTAGTTGTTATGCAAATTTCGTGTCCGGATTCGTGCAACCAAATACGCACGCGTCGTACAAAAGGTTCCATGCGTTTACGGCGCACAGCCCGTTTGTATACACGATATAGTAGTGACTTGACACGGCTAATAAGCAAAATATGTAAAAGTTCGAAAAGTACAACAAATGTGATACTTGTTGAGTGAAAGGTTCTGTCAAATAAATGACAAAAATAATATAAAAATCAAGCACACTCAAACTTGATTTTATAAAAACTGCGATTCCCTGTAGAGGTACATGTATATACTACTTTAGTGACAATTTTGGGCTGAAAATAGACAAAATGCACACAATTGAAGATATTAATTATTTTTTTTTTTACTGTAAATCAGAAAGAATAATTCAACTAAGCTTTACGAAATTGTGACCATACATAAGATCTAAAAATGCATACAATGCGGTAATAATATTTTTTCTTTAGATTTTCAAAAAACCACATTTTAGAATATGTCAAAATAGTGTATACGATCGTATCGTAGTTATAATTGCTGTAATTTGTCACACATTTCTTGACTGGCTTCAATAAATTTCTTATCGAATGCGTCTCACCATAGTCTGTAATTATTAGCCACGCAGCAGTCGTTACGCTACGATATGTAACAAATATATTCTTTGTATTTTATTGAATTTTTTTTTGATGGTTGTATTTTAGTGACTGGCTGTCATTTTGGCATTATTGGAACGCTTTTACCATTGGTTTATATTGCGGATATTTTCTGTTATATCTCAAATTATAGACTGGAGATATAGGATGAGTATATCACGTTATGATCCTGCGCCGAGGTTATAATAAGTGACCGTACAAAATGCAATTAACATTATGATCTATGCAAATGTAATGGTTTCGTGATATTATAACGGTGTGTAGTAAGGTTCATCAGCTCAAATAGAGCTATTTATTTTACTCCTTGTCATGCTTTCTCTAAATGCTTTACTAGTATTTTCAACTTTTTTTTTGTTTTTGGTCACAACAAACAAACAAACAAGTACTCTGAGTAATAGTGGTAACTTTTGATAGATAGAATAGATAGATTTATTCCACCAGAAAAAAGAGACAATTGTACAGGGAACTTTATCTGAATGAATAATAATAATATATATATTATTCCTGGTGGGGACCAGAGAGGTAGTTCTAGCAGAACTAATCTAGTCCCTGGCCCCAAAACCATACTCAACTGTTAAAATATACGTTGTTGTGAATAGTGATACACAAAAAAATTATATTGTTAAGTTAAAAATAAATAAATAAATACATAATTAAGTAAGTAAAGAGACTACAAACTCTCATAATCAATAATAATGAAGAAAACAAAAATAGACAATACTAGTACATATACTACAATAATGCAAGTATTTATACATTAGTTAAAAGATATTTTTTTAATGCCGTTTTGAACGAGTTTCGTAAAGTTAATATTTTTAACGAAGTTGGGAGCTCATTCCAATGTTTTACAAGAGAAAATGTCAGACTTTTCTTAGTTGAACTTAAATTAATTTTGTGGTGTGGCAAGTTTCTCAGAGGTTACTGATCGTGTAATGG